ATATAAATTATATTATATATATTAAAAATATTATTTAAATCAAAACGTGTCCCAACGTGTCGAAATATGCCATTTTTTAGAATTAACGTGTCGGCGTGTTGTGTCGTGTCCCGTGTCAGTGTCGGTACATCATAGCCCTTAGGTACATCGATTAGCGCTCTTGAGGTTGCTAGGAATGGCCTCCCGAAGATCATAGGCACACTAGCATCTTCATCAATGTCAAGAATAACAAAATCAACAGGAATTAGAAATTTGTTTACCTTGACGAGCACATATTCCACAATACCATGTGCATGCTTTGTTGAGCGATTAGCCAGTTGAACCTTCATCCTCGTTGGCTTTACTTCATTAATTTCTAGCTTTTTCATCAGGGTGAGAGGCATCACATTTATGCTGGCACGAAGATCGCATAAAACTTTCTCTATAGTCGTCTTGCCGATGGTGCATGGTGTAATATTCAAAAAAATAAAAAATAAAAATAATGTGACGCCATTAGCGCCAACAATGGCGCCAGTAGCGCTAATTGTGGCGCCTTTAGCTCCAAGAGCACCCCAAAAAAAAATGACGCCAATAGCGCCAAGAGTATCTAGAGTGGTGCCATTTGCGCCAATTCCCATGCGAAGAGCGTGGATATGTATCAGACGCCATTCGCTCCTGTTAGTATATGGATGTCCTAGAGACAATCTTTTGATTAGATTAGGACATATGTAGACCTTTTTATATTGTCACAAATAAATAATAAGCACTCTTTATCCTGTTTCATATTTTGTCTCAATATTATTGTTAATAGATTATATGAGTAACTGAATAAATCCCTTGGAATATAATAGGTATCTCTTGAGTATCTGTGATGAGATCACGATCATGAGGATTTAAGGATACCAGATGTTTATTCCTTATTTTATGTTCCTAGTCTAGAGACACTGAGAATGGGGATTAGTAATCTCGGATAAGACTAGCACGACTTATCTACTTGTATTCGGATACAAGGTAAAGACCTCATGAGCTACAGATATGGAGATGTCTTAGCTAAAGTCATGGGTGGACCTATAAGGGTATAGCTCGCAATGAACTGACCCACAAAGAGACTCTATAAGAAAATCTTACAAAAGTATCATTAGAGTAGTCTCTTAATATTTGGGTATGTCTTTCCTTAGACCATAAGTTGTCACCTAGACTGTGTTCTAGAAGGCATGTTTTGATTGTATACTTCGTCTGCCTGAAACATGGAAACTCATAGATATACTTTTGGACATGTCCTGAAAGAGCACAGGCCTAGGGTGATAAGCTAAAGGAATTCGTCAAATCTCTGTAAGGGATTAGGTTATCTGTAAACCGGAAAAATCGGGATGACATTTACAGGACTCGGGAATCTATGTATAGTAAAAGAGATCATGAGATGATATGCCTTTAGAGTCAGTAAATTGAATTGAAGATTCCCTATTTCGAATTAAAGCTTACCTTAAACCGCAAGGGTTGATACATTTCCTCACCCTAAGTTTAAAGGGAAGGTAACCGAGACGAAAGGAAATACATATGGCAACCAAATATGTGTAATAGGATGATCAAGTCATTAATCTAACTAGTTCTGGGGCAACAAAGCATTGCTAGTGTTCTGTGTTGTCATTAAATGGGTTGTGGGCTTGTTGGGCCCGAGCCCATTTATGTCAGTGGCTATGTTGGACCTAATGGGTCACACACTAACACCTTATTGTCATGATGATCTAGCATTAAAGGTATTGGGCCTAACAATGGTTCTTAGCCCAAGAAGAAGTTTAGAAGCCCACCTAAAAGGGAAAAGGGCGCTTGGATCATGTAGTGGGCTTGGGTGGTCCAAGACATCACTAATTAATTTAATTAGTTAAATTAATTATCAAATATTTAAATTTTGAATTTTGAATTTGAAATTTGAATTTTGAATTTTGAATTTGAAATTTGAATTTTGAATTTTGAATTTTAAATTTGAATTTTTAATTTTGAATTTTGAATTTGAAATTTGAAATTTGAAATTTGAATTTTGAATTTTGAATTTGAATTTTGAAATTTGAATTTTGAGTTTAGAATTTAAATGTTGAATTTGAATTTTGAATTTAAATGTTTGAATTTGAATTTGAATTGGCTATGAAAGTTGTTTCATAACAAAAGGATAAGATAAGATCTTGTTGGAACAAATCCCTTGTATCAAGAGGAGATCTTTGGAGATCACCAAGGGTTGTTTGGGGCACTGATTTGGTGTGATTATAAGTGTCATTTAGTCAACCAAATAAGCTCCAATCAGATTTGGTTGGTTGAGAGAATCAGTGAGTGAGTTGGTTCAAATTTGAATGCAACTGCTCAACGTATCTGGATCCCTTTTAAGGCTGAATGGGGCGCATAGATGGCTGGCCATATGATGGCCATTAGGTCATAATTTTGACTAGATAAAGATCTAGTCTCATGAGGATTGTATGGTAGGTTGTTGGGAATTTTGAATTGCAACAACTCAACCCTTTCTCTCCCTTTATGTGCTCCATTTGTGTCAAAATTTTACGAAAAAAATCGGATTGCATCCTTGCTTCCTCTCATCCTTTTGGTGCGCCACTTTTGTTAGGTTTTTCCCTAAGTGTTTTGGAATTAACCTAGCCTTTTCTAAGAGCATCCATGCCCCACTTTTGTGAAGTTTTCATGCTGAAGACTTCACTCTTCTAAACACCTTTACCTAGCCTCCTCCTTCACACATTGGACGCCTAGCAAGCTTGTGTGGTGATCAATTGGTGGCTTTTTAAGAAGAGTTCTTGCATCTTGACGTGGGGTGGTGTGGATCAACGTTAGAGGGTTTGAACCCTTCAAACCTGACACTGATCTCCTTGGTGTTTGAATCACAAACAAAGGTAACATCATGTTGTCTTAAAGCATGAATCTTGATTGCATGTGTTATTCTGCTTGAAAAATTTTGTTTTTCCCTCTCACATGCTTCGACCTTCAGGGTCATTTTTCTTTCAGCGCCAACTTTTGCGCAAAAAACGTGGACGTATATATATATAGATATATATATATATATATATATGTTTACGTATATAAAATAAATAAATAATAATAATAATAATAAAAGAAATAAGTAATTAAATATTAAGATAAATGTATATAATATATAATATGTTAATAATAAAATAAATAATAATAATAATAATATAATAATTGATAAATAAATATATTACAGAAACTAAATAAAACGTATTATGTAAACGTGGAACAATCTGATAAACGTTTACGAGAATCTTTCTATAAACGTATACATGCTTAGTTATTATCTGAATAGTAATGATTACTTAGTTACAAATTAACTAGTTCGTTCGAATCTAACTCGAACGTAAGCAGTCTCTTTTATATATATATATATATGTGTATCGTTGTACATAAGAAGAAAAGAAAAAGAAAAAAGAGACCAGTGAATAAGAGAGAGAGAAAGAGAGATCAACAGAAAAAGAAAAGGAGGAAAGCGACGACACAAAAGGTAATATTGAGAGGTTTAAAAACATTCTCTCGTGTTCTTTCCAATCATTTTGGGAAAAACGATGTTTAAATTTAATACCTCTGTCATCTTACCAAACTCTTTTCTTTATATATTCGTCTGTTTGATTTTATTCTTTTGCAGTATATTGGTTTTGTTTTAAATTTTATTTCTTTTCAACAACTGATTATCATATTGACAAATTGTTTGGTACCAAATAATTACGAAGAGAATGTGTAAATTTAACTGATGAAGACTACTATGAACTGAACCACAGAGTTTAGGTTCAGACGATTATAGGGTAAGGGACGCCTTATCGTGGTTTGATCTCCTCCACAATGAATCTTTCATATGCAGAGAACCACAAAGTTGAAAAATTATTTAGCTTCAGTTAAATATTACACAATGTATTATTTATTATATTACTTCATTTTGTTAAATTATCTGAGAGAATAGTATTTTTCGTTATTACGGCTGGAAATGGTTATAGCTAGAAAACCTCAATGTTACTGAGAATTTTCTCACGTGTGTTTGTTTTGTGCTAACCTTTCCAGAAAATCATAATGCCTAGTCTAAGCTTATCGGGTGAAGGATGGAGTATCAATATTTACTCTTACGAGGACTGCATGGAGTTTTATATTGTAGTAGGAATTTAAGGAGATGCTTCAATATTCTATGCTGATAGTGTGGAGACCTACACCTATAGACTAGATTAGGATAAGACTTTTGTATTGTATAATTATGTGATGCCAGTATGTAAAATATAAACTGAAATGATGTAATATTTAGTAGACTGTAGAACCTATATAAAATAACTTCCTTTTGTACCTGGCGTAACATTATCTATAAAGTAATGTTGGTAGATGTTTATATAATTTTCTTTACTGTTATTATCATCAATATATATTAATTAATAACATTAACTCCTTTCCATTCTTATTTCTCATTGATTATGCATAAAGCGAAAACATATACATATAAGAAAACATGTAATATTCCTTACAAAAGTTAACATTAAGGGATGTTACATTTTATGGTATCAGAGCAGCGGTTCAGGTGAATAAAGAACCTAAACTATTATAGTTGTTGGGTATTCTATCAATGATCATGCATATTTTGAATTATTTCACTGAGCCTGATCAACTCACTATCATAAAACAATATATGTAGATCTATGGTAGATACAAGGCAGATATCTTCTTCAACTTCTGAACTATAAGTCAACCCAGTAATTGATGTATTTACCCGTGTAGCAGAAGCTCTTAGAGAACAGGCTGTAACTAATCAGCAAATTATTCAAGAGTTGAGGGAGGACCGTGCTACCAGAAATCATACCCATAATAATGAAAGTGAAAGTGGGCCTAGAATTGTCAATGCTCCGGAAGGACCTAATTCTGATTACAAAGGACTTACAGAATGTTGTAAGCATAAACCATCCACTTTTCGTGGAGACTATAACCCTGAGGCAGCAATGGAATGGATAAAAGAACTTCAGAAAATATTCCTAGTAATGGATTGTCCTAATACTCTTCGTGTATACTTTGCCACATACTTGTTGATTAGAGAAGCAGAGCATTGGTGGACAAATACCAAAAGATATTTCCAAAGTCGAGGAACCGAGATAACTTGGGCAATCTTTAAAGATGCCTTTTTGGAAAAATTCTTTCCTCAAAGTATAAGAAACAGAAAAGAAATAGAATTCCTTGAACTAAAACAAGGAAACATGACTGTTGGAGAATATGTGGCAAAATTTGAGGAATTATCTAGGTATTCTAATTATATACAGAATCAACCTAATGAGGAATGGCTGACAACTAAATTTGAATTTGGACTAAAACCTGAACTAAAAAGTATGATAATAAACAGGTGCAGAGACATAGAAGCAAGTATGAAGGCGGCTGAAGATGCAAGAGAGAAGGACAGAGCCCTAAATCGAAGAAGGAGTGATGACAATAACAAAGGGAGGTTTTCACTGGTGCAAAACTCGGGAAACAATTTTGCTAGCAATGGAGGGAAAAAGAATGCGGGTCGGATGAATTCCCAGATTCAGGGATGTCCAAAATGCAAGAAAAATCATGCTGGAGAATGCTTGAAAGGAAGAGGTGTGTGCTTTAAGTGCGGGAAGCCTGGACATATGTTGAGGAATTGTCCTCAGAATCAAGGTCAGAACTCATTAAACCAACCTATAACAAGAGTTAGAGTTTTCACCCTAGATGGTCAGAAAGAAGATCAAGCTTCAAACTTGGTTCAAGGTACGGACTTAATACAAGATTCTCATATAACTGTACTTTTTGATTCTAGGGCATCTCATTCTTTCATATCTTGATCTTCTGCTCAAAAGTTAAAATTATCCATTTCCATTTTACCTTCTTATCTTGAAATCCTTTTTCCTACTGGAGAAAAGTTAACCACATCCCAAATTTGTAAAAATTGTCATTTTCAACTCGAAGGAAAATTGTTTAAGATACATTTAGTTTGTTTGCCTATGATTGATATAGATGTGATTCTTGGTATGAATTGGTTGTCTGCTAATTGTGTGGTCATTGATTGTCATAATAAAAGTATAATTTTCACAAAAGAGTCAGACCTTCCCAGTGAATCTCTATTCTTGTCAACTTCCCAACTTAAGAAGAGTTTGTTAGGTAGAGCACAAGGATATGTTCTCTTCAATCTTTCAGAAGCAAAGGTTAAACCTAATGCGACCAATATCGCTATTGTCTCAGAATACTCAGAGGTTTTTCCGGATGAAATTACAGGTTTACCACCAAACAAAGAAATTGAATTCTCCACTGACATAATACCTAGAGTAGGGCCAATTTCTATTGCACCTTATAGGATGTCACCTGTAGAGCTTGTTCAACTAAAGAAACAATTATAGGAACTTCTATCAAAACAGTTCATCAGACCAAGTATGTCACCTTGGGAGCACCAGTGCTCTTTGTCAAGAAAAAAGATAGAAGTATGAGATTGTGTGTGAATTATAGGCAACTAAATAAAGTCACCATTAAAAATAAATACCCTTTGCCTAGAATAGTTGACCTTTTAGATCAGTTTAGAGGAGCCACAATGTTTTCTAAAATAGATTTGAGGTCAGGATATCACCAGATTAGAATTAAGACTGAATATATTCCAAAGACAGCCTTTAGGACTAGGTATGGACATTATGAGTATCTGGTGGTGCCTTTTTGATTAACAAATGCTCCAACTGTATTTATTGATTATATGAATAGGATTTTTAGATCTTACCTAGATCAATTTGTAGTGGTGTTTATAGATGATATTTTAATATATTCTAGGAATAAAGAGGAGCATAAGGAGCATTTAAGGATAGTATTAAAATTTTTGAAAGATAAACAATTGTACGCCAAACTTTCAAAATGTGAATTCTGGATGGAAGAAGTTAAATTTTTAGGACAAGTTATATCCAAAGAAGGTGTGAAAGTTGATCCTAGTAAAATTGAGGTTGCAGTACATTGGTAAAGACCTAAGACTATCACTGAAATCAGGAGTTTCCTAGGATTGGCACGATATTATAGAAGATTTATTAAAGGATTTTCACAATTTGTATTAACTAGGTTAACTAGAAAGGGAATCCCTTTTGTTTGGACACAAGAATGTGAAAATTGATTTTAAGATTTGAAGAATAAGTTAACATCTGCACCAATTTTAATAATTCTCGATCCTTTAGGAAAATTTGAGGTTTATAGTGATGCATCTAGAAAGGGGTTAGGTTGTGTTTTAATGCAAGAAAGAAAAATTGTAGCTTATGGGTCAAGGCAGTTAAGACCTTGTGAGGAAAATTATCCCACTCATGATTTGAAATTAGCTGCAGTAGTTTTTGCACTCAAGATTTGGAGGCATTATTTATGTGGAGTTAAATCTGAAGTTTTTAGTGATCATCAGAGTCTTAAATATTTGTTTGATCAGAAAGAGTTGAATATGAGGCAAAGGAGATGGATGGAATTTTTGAAAGATTATGATTTTAAACTAAAATACCTTCCATGAAAAGCAAATATGGTGGCTGATGCCTTAAGTAGAAAATCTTTTAATATGTCATATTTAATGATCAAAGAAATGGAATTATTAGAAAAATTTCGACACATAAGATTATCTGTAATTGTATTGCCTCAAAGTTTAGGTATTAGTGAAATAAGGATTCAAAATGAGTTAGTAAATAAAGTTAAAGAAGCTTAGCAGGAGGATCTTAGTTTAGAAAAAATATTGGAACAGGAAGAATTTACCAAAGAAGATGATGATTTAGTAAAGTTTCAAGGAAGGATTGTTGTACCTAGGAAGGAAGAATTGGTGAAAGAAATCTTAAATGAAGTACATAGTAGTAAATTCACAGTTCACCCTGGTTCCACCAAAATGTATCAAGATTTGAAAAAGATATTTTGGTGGCCAGGAATGAAAAAGAATATTGTTGAATATGTTTCAAAATGTTTGGTTTGTCAAAAGATAAAAATTGAACATCAAAAATCTTCAGGATTACGTCAATCATTAGACATACCAGAATAGAAGTGGGAAAGTGTAGCAACTGATTTTATGATGGGTTTACCAAGAACTCAGGAAGGGTATGATGCAATTTGGGTAATCATTGATCGATTAACCAAATCTGCTCATTTTCTACCAATTAAGGCTCAATATTCTATTGAGAGATTAGCTCAGTTGTATATAAAAGAAATTGTCAAACGTCATGGTATACCTTTAAGTATTGTGTCAGATAGAGACCCTAGATTTACTTCTAGATTTTGGGGATCTTTGCAACAAGTTTTCGAAACTAAGTTAAGACTGAGTACAGCTTACCATCGTCAAACTGATGGTCAAACGGAAAGAACCATCCAAACTTTAGAGGATATATTGAGAGTCTGTATTTTGGAGCAAGGAGGAAGTTGGGATAAATACATGTCATTAATAGAGTTCGCCTCTAACAGTAGTTACCACTCTAGTATTGGAATGGCTCCCTATGAGGCACTTTATGGAAGAAAGTGTAGATCTCCTGTGTGTTGGTATGAAAAAGTAGAAAAACAGTTGTTGGGACTAGAATTAGTCCAAGAAACCTCGAGACAAATTCAGATGATAAAGGAAAATCATGAAAAAGCTCGAAGCAGACAGATAAGTTATGCTGATAACAGGCGTAAACCTTTGTCTTTTGAGGAAGGAGAACATGTCTTTCTTAAACTTACTCCTACAACAGGTGTAGGTAGAACCCTCAAAGTTAGGAAATTGAGTCCTAGGTATATTAGTCCATTTCAAATACTCCGAAAAATAGAGCCAGTTGCTTATCAACTTGCTCTTCCACCTCATCTTTCTAATCTCCATAATGTTTTTCTTGTTTCTCAGCTTAAAAAATATGTCCCAGATCCCTCTCATAATCTTAATTTAGATTCAGTACAAGTTAAAGAGAATCTGACAATTAAGACCAGACCAATTCAGATTCTTGATAGAAATATGAAGCAAATGAGAAATAAAACAATTCCATTAATCAAAGTATTGTGGGAAGGACTTTCACCACATGAAGCAACGTGGGAAAAAGAAGAAGAATTACGACAAAAGTATCCAGAATTTTTCTTAACAGATATGTCAAAATTTTGAGGACAAAATTTTAATTAGAATGGGAGAGATGTACTATTCCAAATAATAATAATAATGTGACGCCATTAGCGCCAACAATGGTGCCAGTAACGCCAATTTGAAGTATATTGGTTTTCTTTTAAATTTTATTTCTTTTCAACAACTGATTATCATATTGACGAATTGTTTGGTACCAAATAATTACGAAGGGAATGTGTAAATTTAACTGATGAAGACTGCTATGAACTGAATCACAGAGTTTGGGTTCAGACGATTATAGGTAAGAGACGCCTTATCGTGGTTTGAACTCCTCCACAATGAATCTTTCATATGCAGAGAACCACAACGTTAGAAAATTATTTAGCTTCAGTTAAATATTACATAATGTATTATTTATTATATTACTTCATTTTGTTAAATTATCAGAGAGAATAGTATTTTCCATTATTACGACTGGAAATGGTTATAGTTAGAAAACCTCAATGTTACTGAGAATTTTCTCACGTGTTTGTTTTGTCCTAACCTTTCCAGAAAATCATAATGTCTAGTCTAAGCATATCAGGTGAAGGATGGAGTATCAATATTTACTCTTACGAGGATCGCATGGAGTTTTATATTGTAGTAGAAAATCAAGGAGCTGCTTCAATATTCTATGCTGATAGTGAGGAGACCTACACCTATAGACTAGATTAGGATAAGACTTTTGTATTGTATAATTATGTGATGCCAGTATGTAAAATATAAACTAAAGTGATGTAATATTTAGTAGACTGTAGGACCTATGTAAAATAACTTCCTTTTGTACCTGACGTAACATTATCTATAAAGTAATATTGGTAGATGTTTATATAATTTTCTTTACTGTTATTATCATCAATATATATTAATTAATAACATTAACTCCTTTCCATCTATTTCTCACTGATTATGCATAAAGCGAAAACATATACATATAAGAAAACATGTAATATTCCTTACAAAAGTTAACATTAAGGGATGTTACACATGGAATACTGAAGCTCCCTGGATCCTTCAACTTTGGAGTCAAGTTTTTCTATATGATTGCACTGCACTCTTCTATTAGTGTAACAGGTTCATCCTTCAGGAACTTTGCATACGAAGGCATTTTCTCTAGAGCTTCTGCAAAAGGAATGTTAATTTGCAATTTCTTAAAATTATCTAAAAATTTAGACAATTGCTTCATTTTCTCATGTTGCTTGCTCCTCGTGGGATATGGAGGTTTCTCAAAACGTGAGAAATCCCATTGCTTCTTTTGAACTACAGGAGGTTGCTCCTTTGTTTTTCCCTTGTCTTCTTGTGTATGCTCATTCTTGCTTGTAGGAGCTTCCACTTTTTCTAGATCCTTGCTTTTAGTAGTGATGGCATTGCAATGCTCCCTTGGGTTGATTATGGTGTCACTGGGGAATGTTCCTGGATTTCTCTCAGCTAATTGTCTTGACAACTGCCCAATTTGAGTTTCCAGATTCCTTATAGATGCTTCGTGATTCTTGAAAGCAGATCTGGTATCTTTCATGAATTCATCGGTGGTCTTTGTCAACTGCAGTAAAGGTCTTTCTAATTCAGATGGTTGAAGCTGTGGAATTGGAGGAGGTTGTAAATATTGGTTGGATTTGTAATCCAAACCTCTTCCTTGAACTCTCCTTTTGAAGTTGTTCCCTGGAGCATTGTTCTAGTTTCTCTGAAGTTCTGCTGTGGTCTTCGATCATACCAGACTCCATTAACTTGGAATGCATCGGCTCCTACAAGTGTTGGACATTCGTTGGTCTCATGCTCTCCTTTGCAATACTCACAATTAACTGAATTAACTTGATCACCACCCGCGTCTAGATGCAAGAACTCCTTCTTGTAGAACCACCAATTGATCACCACAATGAGGCTTGCTATGCGCTCAATGTATGAAAGAGGAGGCTAGGCAAATGTGTTTAGCAGAGTGATGTTTTCAGAGAGAAAACCTCACAAGGTGGAACATGGAAGGAGGAGAGAATGGCTAGGTCTTTTTCTCTTAAAAAACCCTAAGGGGGAACCCACTTATATATTGCACAAGAGAGTGAAGGAATAAATAAGTGAAATCAGATTTTTCACTTCAAAATTCCATAAAAGTGGTGCACAAAAAATGAGGAGATAAATGAGTTGTTGCAATTCAAAACTCCCAACAACCTCTCCATTGAATCCTTATGAGATAAGGTCTTTATTGTAAGAACCTGCACCGTTAATTAAAGTATTTAATTAATTAATTATGCAAAATTAGGAAATGATTCCGTAATTGACTCTAATAATTATTAA